GAGATCACATTAAGGCTGAGATACTTACTAGAGGTTGAAGAGTTGGAAAATATCCACATATTGATGATAACTGAAGCCACGGGAGTAAATGAGATTATCCATGAAGAGTATAAAAAGCAAGAAAAGTAGGGTAGAACTATGAGAAATATAACAGAGAAAGAGGAATCCAAAAAGGAAACAGGAGTCCAAAGTTGGTTACAGTAGCCAAAGGAAGAACGTTTCAAGGAGAAAAGGAGAAAGTAGAACTCAAATGTTGCTGAGAGATAAAATATGATAAGATAAAAAAATTATCCATTGTATTTGATAACAAGGATGCAACTGATGTCCTTAGGAAGAGTAGTTTCAGTGAGACAGTCTGAAGTCAGACTTTAGAGGGCTGTGGAGAGGCTTAGGGGATGAAGAAGCAGACAGTGTAAACAAACACCCATCAATGCACTCCAATGTAGTTTTCTTTCTCAAGGCAATACTCAACGTGCTCTTATGAGAGGAACCAACAATTCTCATGGTGCCAAATCTAGTTGACCTTGCTTTGTCCTCTTCTTACTTCAACTCTCAACAGTACTGGACTCAGCTAACTACTTCTTCCTTCTTTAAACATTACCTTTCTTGGCTTCTGTGACATCACACTCTTTGTTTTTACCTCTCTGCTGCTTTTTGCTAACTTCTCTTCCCCCACCTAATTGCTAGATATTGAAGAGACATTTTTTTCTAGGTGACCTCATCCAGTCCCAATACTTTAAATACTATCCTGATGAATTCCATACTTGTATCTCCAGTCTTGGCCTACGCTCTGAGTTCCAGAATGGTAAATCTATCTGCCTTCATGACTTCTCCACCTAGATTTCTAACAAGGATATAAACCTAATGTCTCCAAAATCATATTTTCCCTGAAAACAGTCTTCTCAGTCTTGGTAAAGCTCAACTCATCTAGTTGTTCAAGACAAAAAACCCAGGAGTCTTCCTTGATTTATCTCTTTTTCTCATCTCCCATATCCAAATCAACAGCAAGTTCTACTAGTTCTTCCTGGAAAACGTTTCTCAGAATTAACCATCCCTTTTCATTTCTGTTGCCACCACTTTAGCCCAAGTAGTCTTGCTTAGATTTTTCCTATAGCTTATTAGCTACTCTCCTTCCTTCCTTAACTGTAGACCAGTTAAGAAGCTATAGGAAAAATCTAAGCAAGACTACTCTAAATGAAGAGCCTGCTAGGCACCTCTCTGTGGTACGTTCTCCACTCAGCAAATTCTCTTTTTTTGTTTTATTTTGTTTTGAGTTGGAGTCTCATTCTATCACCCAAGCTGGAGTGCAGTGGCACACTCATGGCCACCCCAGCGTCAACCTGCTGGGCTCCAGAGATCCTTCCACCTCAGCCTTCCAACTAGACAGAACTACAGGCACACAATACCATGCCTGTCTAATTTTTTAATTTATTGTAAAGACGAGGTCTTGCCAAGTTGCCCGGGCTGTTCTCAAACCCACAGGCTCAGGTAATCCACTTGCCTCAGTCTCCCAAAGTGCTGGGATTACAGGCTGAGCCATCGAACCTGGCCAAATTCTCTTTTAAAATTGTGTATCAGCTGGGCATGGTGGCTCATGCCTGTAATCCCAGCATTTTGGGAAGCTGAGGCAGGAGGATCACTTGGGGCCAAGAGTTTGAGACCAGCCTAGACAACACAGCAAGACATTGAGAGCATATATTAGCTGGGCATAGTGGCACACACCTGTAGCCTTAGTTACTCAGGATGCTGAGGCAGAAGGATCACTTGAGCCCAGGAGTTCAAGACTTCAGTAAGCCATGAGGTGAGCTGTAATGATGCTACTGCACAATAGGGTAAGATCCCAATTTTAAAAAAACTATATATCAGATAATGCCATTTCCTTGAAAACCCTTCAGTGGTGTCCCATTGCACTTACAAAAAAATCTAACCTGCATGATGACCACTTATATACCAAATCCTGAATTTTACCCCACATCTTTAAAATAAAATTTAAAAATCTAAACTTACCATGGCCTATGAGAATCTATATGATCAGGCCACTTGCTCTGACCTTACCTGGAATATTCTCCCTCTTAACTAGCCTTAATATGCTAATTATTAAGCTAATTCAATTAACAGACATTTCTTATGCACCTAATTTATGCCAGATATCTAATTAGACATTGGGTGATACAAAGAAGGTACCTGTCTTTGAAAAGCTCACAGTTCAGTAAGATAAAGAGACATACAAACAAATTAAAATAAAACACTTTTTCAGAGTTAAGTATTTTGCAGAGTTAAGAGCAATGTGGCTATGGGTACAAAGGACAGAACAAGAATCAGGAAGGGCTTTTACAAAGAAGAAACAACTACTGGCATATATTTGAAAGATGGCTAGTTGTGGGTAATGGAATATAGTCTATGACCAGAGAATAGAAGAAAGCTAACAGGTCTATATGGGGCTCTCCAATCCCTCAGAAAAATTATCTAGAAGTAAGTGAAGAATTCAGAACAAACAGCTTGATCAACTACTGGCATAAAGTGCAGCAGAAAAAAGTCTTGTCAGGCCATTACAGCAATTAAGGATTGTTAGAATACAAATGAATATTTAGAGCAACATTCCATTCATTCATTCAACAACAATGTTTTGAGCGTCCACTACTTATGAAGAACAATAAACAAAACTGACCAACTCTCTGTTTTCATGGTGCTTATATTCCAGTGTAAGATTCAGACAATAAAGCAGGGTAAGAGGTAAAGCCTGTTGGGGTTACCTACCATTTAGACTGAAGAGTCAGTAAAGGACTGACTGAGGAAGGACGTTTTGAGCAGAAGCCTAAATGAAACAATCTAGGTATTACTTGAATCACTTATTCAGCTTCACAGATTAGGAAAACACATTTTCAGACTTTGCTGACTTCACCAAACTTGCCCTGTACTAAAGTGATGATTAACTGACCCTTTCCATTTATTTTATCTTGATTATTTGGCCATGTGTAATAGGTCCCATGATTAGGTAGGTTAGGTTTCAGACTACATATGATTTCACTACTGATCATTAACTAACCCTGAGTGTATTATTAACCAAAGGTCTGCTCTTTCTCTTGTTCATGTAACCTTGTTTACATTTCTCCTTGGGTCTCAGCTGGATTTTATCCCCTTATAATGTTAAACATAGTATATCAAATATGATGTTTTATCCAAGCAGCTAAAAACAGGATACAGCCAAAGCCTTAATTCCTTTTATCACTAGAGTTAGGATTGAGGGGTAAGACACTGAAGAAAAATTAAATCTTCAACCAAAAAATGACTAGGGATCATCTTCATGTTCAGAAAGGGGGTACTCTGGGAAGAATAAGAAGTAAGAGAACAGAAAGGGAACAGTGATAAAATCTCAAGAAACATGCCAAGAAGGGAATCCCATGAGGCTATAAAATAATCTAAGTAGAGAATTGAAGAACAGAAAGAAAAAAAAGTGTAAACAACTTGGGAACTCTCTCAAATGTTTGTCCTGCCTTTTCTCTACCTTCTACATTCCTACTGCTCCTGACCCAAGTTAATGGTATGTCAACATATGACACATCAAGAAAATAAATATTTTCTAAAATTCAGGCAACCAGGTGTGAACTCTAAATGAAGAGTATGCTAGGCACAGTGTCTCATGCCTGTAATCCCAGTGCTTTGGGAAGTTGAGGCTGGAAGATTGCTTGAGCCCAAGAGTTCAAGACCAGCCTGGGCAACATAGTGAAGCCTCATCTCTAAGAAATTTAAAAATTATCCAGGCATAGTGGCATGTGCCTGTAGTCCCAGCTACTCAGGAAGCTGTGCAGAAGAAGGATCACCTAAGCCCAGGAGGTCAAGGCTGGCTACAATGAGCTGTGACCATGCCACTGCACTCCAGCCTAGGTAACAGAGTGAGACCTCGACTCAAAAAATAAAATAAAATGAAAATGAAAAGTCAAGTGTTATTAGAAGGGTTATTGAAAAATAAGAATGGGCAACAAGAAACACCTTCATGAACTTAGGTCTACAGACAAATGGTTACAAGTTAAACCACCAAATCCATTGTTTGCAGGGTCAGGCCTAAATATTCTAAGCAATTTTTAGAAGATGTATCTATCTTCAGAGAAGATAATAAAGCTCCTAGAACATTCTTTAATCCTAGAAAATACTTAGTAGAAGTAGGAAATACAAGACAAGAAGTTAGCCACATGATGGTTTTTACAGCCTAGCACAGATTCTGGGTCAGTAAAAAGTTAACTGGTTAGGGCTGGGTGCAGTGGCTCACGCTTGTAATTCCAGCAATTTGGGAGGCTGAGGCAGGAAGACTCCTTGAGCCCAGGAATTTAAGACCAGCCTGGGCAACATAGCAAGATTCTGTCTCTACAAAAATAAAAAAATTAGCCAGGCATGGTGGTGCAAGCCTGTAATCTCAGCTACTTGGGAGCCTGAGACAGAAGGATAACCTGAACCCAGAAGTTCAAGGCTGCAGTGAACCGTGATCGTACCACTACCCTCCTGCCTAGGTAACAGAGTGAAACCCTGACTCAAAAAAAAAAAAAGTTAACTGGTTGGGATTTGTATCATCAAGGAAGAAAGCAAAGAGAGCAGTCAATTTCTCTCCATTGTGTACAAATGCAGTTTAAAGAGAACCTTTGGCCGGCGCGCAGTGTCTTGTACCTATAATCCCAGCACTTTAGGAGAACAAGGCAGGAGGATTGATTGAGCCAAGGAGTTCAAGAGCAGCCTGGGCAAACATACTGAGATCTAGTATGTCCAAAAAAAAAAAATTAGCCAGATGTGGTGGCATGTGCCTGTAGTCCTAGCTACACAGGAGGCTGAGGCAGAAGGATCACCTGAGTCCATGGTGAGCCATGATTGTGCCACTGCACTCCAGTCAGGGTGACAGAGTAAGACTCTGACTCAAAAATTAATTAATTAAAGAGAACCTTTGAAAGGAATAAGATGCAATTAAAATTTTCCTGGAGAATCAGATTTTTTCTCACTTTTGTTTCTCATACCTGAGAGATGTGACTAAAATACTGCAAAGCTGCTTCCACGGGGCTTTTGAAGAACATCTTCTCCTGAGGTTTAAGCTATGAAGAGAATGAGACACACAGTGAAAATATCCACAATGAAATTAAATAAAACACTGACAAATATGGCAAAGGATGTACCACCCTTTCTAATGCACATGGTATTATCTCCACTGTGTGTAAGTAAGAAGGAGATCACCACTGCCCAAGAAGAGATTATATGTCCAAATTCTCCTTATCTTCTGCTTCTGTAACAGTGGTCACAAATAATTCTTCTTTTGTTTCTCCTCTTTTTATAACTACTTTCTGCAAGTTTGTTTTCTTTTCTTTCTTCCTTAAAAAAACTCACCACTTAAATCACTCTACAGAAAAGATACTTGTACATGCATGTTTACTGCAGCATTATTCACAACAGCAAAAACATGGAACCAACCATGCTGTCCATTGAAACTGGACTAGATTTAAAAAATGTGGTACATATACACAGTGGAATATTATGCAGCCATAAAGAAGAACAAAATTTTTGACTTCATGGCAACATGTTCTCACTCATAAGCAGACCCTGAACATTTGCCATAATACAATAAGAAAGGGATTGGCAGTAGCAGGACACCGCCAGGGGGTGGCTTGAGGGGGGCACATAACACCTGATCTTGAACCAAAGGGAGGCCCAAATTTTACCTGTACAATGACCACTTGTATACCTAAATCTGAATTGTACCCCTTATCTTTAAAGTAAAAAAAAATTTTTTTAATTCATCATCTATACTCTGTACATGCTTCCTACAGTCCAGGAATGGGAAGAGATGGTTTGTGACAGGGAGAGAAAAACTTACATTATCAGAAAGAGCCAGATGCTTGCAGGCCGTTCCACAAACAGTACATTTTTCTGGGAGGAAGAGGGAAAAATATGTTTGGCTTTCAGAGGCATAAGGTAAGATTTTATTAAAGTACATAGTAATAGTCAAGTATGCTAGCAAGAGAAGAACAGGATTCTTACTGAATTTAGAATATTATTCTGCTATAAAAGACATCAACTTAAACTCTGTTCCCTAAAGCAATGTTTCCAAACGAGTATGATGAAGTCTAATTAAGGCTTTCATACTATATCTCTACTCCCTTTCTTGTTTTGAATTCTCAATTTTCTTCTGTGAAGGATAATTCTAAATCCCCAACAGGAGTACTGGAGTACATTTACAAGAGTACTGAGAGGAGTACTAACATTCTTAACTTTAAGTTATTCTTTTGTTTTATTCTACCTACCTGACAGCAGGCACACATTGGGTACTATAATAAACTCCCTAGTTATTCCTGCCCTGCTGTCACTTTGCTAATAGTCCTGAATCTTGCTTTGAAGCTCTCCTACTCTCATTCCACAATTAACCCAATCTGAAAGAAATAAAAATTAAGATTACTAATCTTTCCTTATAAAGTAAAATTTTAGTAGTGGTGCTGGTTATTGATTAAGATAAATGCCATGTCAGGAGAAAACATCACATAGCATATGCTTCACAGAGACAAACCACTCCAAAGTGAGCTGCTGTTGCCATAGTAAAGAGCTTTGGTACATTAGCAGATAACTTAAAAGGATCATGAGATTCAAACAGAGAAAAAAGCTTCTCCAGAGGCTACTTAACCTGACTTCTTTTCTTGGAGACGAAAAGGTTTTTCCCAGTCCATATTGCTGCCAGAGTGAGCTAATATGTGAATATCATTTTTCTATTTAAGAAAAAACAAATGTCCACAGCTCTCCATTACCTGTAGGATAAAGTTCAGGTTCTTTAGCCTGGTGTACAGAGCCTTCCACCATCTGGCCACTGCCTACCTCACCAACCTCATTTCTCACCATTTCTTACCTTACTCTTTATAATCTACCAATCCCACCTATGTGTAGTTCCCTACAATATGGTTTTGTGATGTAATATGTCTGTACATGCTGTTCTCTTAAACTAGAATGATCTTCTCTGCCTTATCTTGGCAAACTTAGTTTATTATTGAAAATTCTACTGAAGCATTGCCTCCTCTGTGACATCTTCCCAAATCAAAGCACCCTACCCTAACTTCCTCTTCTGGGCATATACACATCTTGTAAGTATTTTAGCATTAAAAAAAAACAAAAACCTAAATCCAAGTCTCCTTTCTAAAACTAAATAGCTGTGAGAACTTGGTCAAATCACTTACCTCTCAAAATCAGTTTCCTCATTTGTAAAATGGTTCTACTAATAATAACCACCTGGGATTGTGTGATGTTTACATAAAATTAGTACATGTGAACATACTCTTTTATTTATTTTATATTATTTTATTTTTTAATTTTTCTTTTTTTTTTTTTGAGTTGGAGTCTTACTCCATTACCCAGGCTGGAGTGCAGAGGCACGCTCACAGCCACCCCAGAGTGGATCTGCTGGGCTCCAGCGATCCTTCCACCTCAGCCTTCCAAGTAGACGAAACTATAGGTGTATGCTACCACGCTCGGCTAATTTTTTATTTATTGTAGAGACAAGGTCTTGCCAAGTTGCCCGGGCTCGTCTCGAACCCGCGGGCTCAGGCAATACACCCACCTTGGCCTCCCAAAGTGCTGGGATTACAGGCTGAGTCACCGAGCCCAGCTTGAACTTGCTTTTTTAAACTGCAAAGGTATCATCATCATTTCTAACCAAACTAATTTCACAGGCTAGACAACTTTCCTTTAGAAATGGTTCTTGGGCCGGGCATGGTAGCTCACACCTGTAATTCCAACACTCTGGGAGGCCCAAGGAGGGACAATTACTTGAGCCCAGGAGTTTGACACTAGCCTGGGCAACATAGTGAGACCTCAGTTCTATGAAAAATACAAAAATGTGCCAGGGGTGGTGGTGCATGCCTGTAGTTCCAGCTACTTCAGGGGGTTAAGGTGAGAGGAATGCTTGAGCCCAGGAGGCTATAGTGAGCCAGGATCATGCCACTGCTCCAGCCTGGGCAACAGAGTGAGACCCTGTCTAAAAAAGAAAAAAGAAAAAGAAAAAGAAACATCTCTTGATATCAGCCAAACTTTCCCTCATTCCTGTCCATTATTCTTATTCTATCTCTTTTCCCCGATCAGTTGGATCCCTTGTGGCTTTCTCTGCCACAGACTTCAAAACACTCACAAGTACCTTTTGATGCTCAAATAATAGCTTTGCTACATTATTTAGCACCATTACTTTGTTAGTGGATTCCTCCAACTTCGAGAATCAACAGTTCCCTACAGTCCACATCACCATTGCCCTACTAAGTGATTTTTATCCTGTCACACATAGGAATGGCTAATCATTATATCTAGGTAAAAACATTTTTGCCTGAATCTGAAAACAGTTAAGTCACTCACCTAAAGTCACACACTTTTTACAAAAAATATGGCCACAGCTGGTGACAAAGAAATGGGTCCCATCTTTTCGGAAACACTGGTTGCAGTGAAACCAATCCATTCTAGAGCAGGAAAAGAGAAAGTGTAAGGATAACCTGGGACATAACATAGTAACAGATGTTCCAAAATATAGGTGACAATGTTTGCTTAATTTCTGATAGGTTATTGGGATGTGGATGTATCATTTTGTAGGTATTCCAACTGGTTGTAAGGAAATGCCTGTACCTATAAAGTAAAAAAAAGCAGACTGTTACACCACTCTCTCTCTATATATATATACACACACACACATATACTCACACACAGACACACAGATATATACAGACATACATATATGTGTGTATATATATATATATATATATATTCAGCAAAGCAATGAGGACAGTGTAGAGATTTTTTTTTTTTTTTGGAGTGGTAAGGGTATGAGTTTTTGTGCGTGTTGCCTTTACGTTTTGTTTTCTAAGTTTTCTAAATTAAATCATGTACCACCAATTTGTAATTATAATAAACAAGCCTTAAAAAAATGAAAACCATCTATTCACTTTTTAAGTTTCCTGTGATAGGGTGAGCGTGGAGCCAAAAGGAGATAGTGAAGAAGATCACATATGAACCACTTGAGGCACACTTTATCTAAGGGAAACAGGGCGATAGTATGGTTTCAGCTTGTACACTTTCCTTTTACTCTTCAGAAACCCAGAATCACAGATCTGAAAGGAGCCTTGAAAAATCATTTAATATTTTGTCTAATCCCACCATTCTTCAGAAGATGTACTTGACGTTCAGTGAAATTAAATTACTTGTTCAAAGTTGTATCTTTTGTTGGTGGTAACTCTGGGATTAGAACCTAAATCCCCTGTATAAAGTTCTTATTCCAAAAGAACCTTAAAGAGCCTTTGTGTTCAACATGGTAACCATACATCTTGTATTTTCTGCCAATACCAATTTCATAAAATTTTTAAAATACATAACTAAGTAAATGCGACTTTGTGTATAGGACTTCCTTTTTCTTTTTCTTTTTTTTAAGTCAGAGTCTCATTCTGTCGCACAGGCTGGGTTGCAGTGGCATGATAGCAGCTTACCACATCCTCCATCTCCTGGGCTTAGGTGATCCTTCCACCTCATCCTCCTGAGTAATGAGACTCTGGGCACAAGCCACCATGCCTGACTGACTTTTTTATTTTTTGTAGAGACGAGGTCTCGCTGTGCTGCCCAGACTGGTCTCAAAACTCCTGGGCTCAAGTAGTCTACCCACCTTGGCCTCCTAAAGTGCTGGGATTGCAGGTGTGAGCCCCTACAAGGGGCCTGAAGGATTTTTAAACGAGGATATTGACATATCAAAAACACAGACTGGAGCTATGATTAGTTCATACATGTAATAAAATCTTATTATTAGATTACTAGTAGTAGCGTATTGTATATGCTACTTAAGAATATAAAATTCACTAGTTTGCTTTACTGTAAAATTGAATTGGGAAAATAATTAAAATAGAAAGTAATTTCTTCCTCCACTAGTCAGTCTCCTTTAAAAAAAAAAAAATTAGCCTCTGCAGTGTCTCACGCCTGTAATCCCAGCACTTTGGAAGGCCGAGAAGAGAGGACTGTCTGAGCCCAGGGGTTCCAGACCAGCCCAGGCAACTTGGCAAGACCTTGTCTCTACAATAAACCAAAAAATTAGCCAGATGTGGTGGTGCACACCTGTAGTTCCAGCTACTTGGAAGGCTGAGGTGGAAGGATCGCCTGAGCCCAGCAGGTTGAGGCTGTGGTGGCCATGATTGTTCCACTGCACTCCAGCCTGGGCGACAATGAGACCCCGAGTCAAAAAAAAAAAAAGAAAAAAGAAAAAAGTAAAGTGGTTTATGGAGACGTCTGTTAAATGAATGAAAGGCTAGTGTGCACCATACTTTAAACTTTTTGTCACATAAGGCAAGAATTACCATAAAAGTGTATCTAGTAAGCAGCTCAACGCAAAGTACCCCACAGTGCCACGCGTGGCAGAGTCCACCACGTAACGACGTAAAAGACCCCACTGTAGATGACCTTAAGGACAGCAACAATTTAATCACCGGGGTTGACTAGAGGAGCCCCACAAATGAAAGGCAATTAGCACAGTAAGATGACCCCCTGAGGACAAAACTCGCCTGCTTTCCAGGGCTGGTAGGGACTCGGCAGTCTCAAATTCCCCAGTTCATTTTCTGCCTTCCCTGCCTGCGGGCCCGCGGTGTGCCCAGGAATCCTCAGATCTCACCGAAATCATCCAATTCTCCTCAAGAGGAGCTGGAAAAGGCGGGAAACTATATAGAGGGCGAGGCGTGGTCAGAGGCCCAGCGTGAGCGGCGTGGGCGGGGCCTGGCGTGGGCCAACGAGTGGGCGTGGCTCCGGGAGTGGGCGGGGCTTGCAGAGGCGTCCTGGGCTCGCCGTGGTCTGAGAGGCAAAAGAGCCTCTTCTTAGTGGCCTCGTAAAATTTCCTCGATTGAAGGATTGGACAGGCCGGGCGCGGCGGCTCAAGCCTGCAATCCCAGCACTTTGGGAGGCCGAGGCGAGAGGATTGCCAGAGGTCAGGGGTTCGAGACCAGCGAGGGCAATTTGGCGAGACCTCGTCTCTACAGTACATCAAAAAACTAGCCAGGCGTGGTGGCACGCGCCTGTAGTTCCAACTACTTGGAAGGCTGAGGAGGAAGCATCGCCTGAGCCCAGGAGGTCGAGGCTGCGGTGGCCGTGAGCGTCCCACTGCTCTCCAGCCTGGGCGACAGGGTGAGACTCCAACTCGGAAAAAAAAAAAGAAAGATTAGACAAGTAAACACTGTCATCTAATCCCACACGTGTTACTGCGGAAACAAAAAGGTGAAAGTAACCCTAATAACATTGCAACACACGATGAGAGCACACTGGAAAATGTGGTCACAAAGTGGACAAAAACTTCGACCTAATAGAAAATGAAGAAGCCGGGCTGGGTGGCTCAGCCTGTAATCCCGCGCTTCGGGAGGCTGAGGTGAGTGGATTGCCTGAGCCCGCGGGTTCGAGACCCGCCTGGGCAACTTGGCGAGACCTCATCTCTACAGAAAATCAAAATGAGCCGAGCGTGGTA